TATGCTGTACTAACACAACTGCTATCAACTCTTTTCCCTTGATATAAAAAGGGAATGGTTGCTGCTGCCAAAGTGTTCTTCATGTGGCCCATCAGGTCCAGAACACCAATCCACCTCTCCCAACCACTGGAAACACTGAAAAATTCTTTCTTTCAAAAACAGAAAAAAGAAAAGGGAACAGAGAGACAGAGCAGCAACACATTGTAGATGAAAAAAGATAGCTTCCTGCCATACAGATACAGTAAATAAAATCAGAACAAATCAGATTCATATGGATGGTCAGCAATGGATTCCACAGTTTAGTATAATTATAGCTTATTTTGTTCTGCTTGTTGAACAAGGTAGCCTAAGCTTAGCCAAGGAGCTTCTTTGAAGACATACTCTGACCTTAGCCAATAAGCTCCCAATTTGTTTTTTAAAGAAATTGCAAAAAAGACAAATGTAAGCAAATTGTCCTGGACAATAAAATACAATATAATGAAATATCAGTTACCTAGAAAGTAATTTCTTTATGGAAAAGTAGGATGTGGACCGACAATTAAACTTTAGGGCATGAGAGCTATGACCCAACTACTTCAATCATGTTATTTTGCACTTTTCAAGCTCAGTATGTGTTTGGGATGTAGTGGGTACAGCATTCTGAAAAGGCATCTTTTTACTGGGAGATGATGAGACTTCACCTACACAACCCAATCCATTGCATAAGATTATGACATTTTGCCTGAAAGGCAGGAAACTGCTGAGCAGTTTTAAATTAAAAACCACTTCACAGTTAAGAAATAAACCTGCCCAAATCCCCTAAAAGCACACAGATAACTATGCATCAAACACTTCAGTGAGGTAGATCAAAAAGCCTCCTCAAGTTTTCTTTGCAAGAACAGAGCCTATAGTACTATGATTTAGGAATGTGCCCATTTCTATTTTGTTAGGATAATTTCATTTGTCTTAAAAGCTCTTGTTATGGAAAACAGGTAGACTCAAGACAGATATGGACAAATGTCATGTGGACCAAAAAGTTTTAAGTACTATTCCTTGCTTTCTCACTGAATCAGACTGTACTTGCTTTGCTATTCAAGACATCAACATTTTCCTTGAGGAACTCTGAGAATCAGAGCATGTATTTACAAGATCACACTTCATTTATTCGAATACTTGCTTACTGGCATTATTTTTGCAAGTTAAACAGAAATTCCAGTTGATACCTGAAAAACATGCACAGGAATAGAGGGGCTTTTTTGACTGCTGCTGTTTTTGATGAATTGCTAACAGCCAGTATTTTCTATAGGGGTTAAAAAAAGAATGGCAAGATATCAAAAGTGGCTGACTATACTTACTCCACTACTAGGCCCCTAAATAATTGCCCCTGTTTTCAGTAGGGCTGTGGGCCTGTCAAGGGTATTCTAGGTTCAGTGTAGGTTTCCCAGTAAGAACCTTAATTCTATATGCTCACTTTTTAAAAATCTTGGTTACATTGTCCCACACACCTTAAAAAACAAACCAACCTCCCATCCCAGTGAAGGGTCATGAACTGATCTCACCTGGACACTGCACAGAAAACTGAATGGCCCTCGCTTATTTGATTGGCAAAACTATGATCCACTGATTGATGAGGAAAGGAAAATTTCCACAACCTCATCTGAGAATTTAAGCTTTCTCACATTACTAGGCCAATGACAAAGGTGAGTTTATCACCCTCATCTCACATGGAGAGACAAGAAGTGTGCTCAAAAAAAGCCCCCCCTGTATTTTGGTAGCCAATGGAAGTCGGAGAGGACAAGATTTACATGGCAGTGCTGCATATGGCTATGATGTCCACAAAAAATAGCTAAGGGTAGGCATGTGTATTTAATAGTTCACTGTAGTCAGAAACAAAGTGCAGTGCACTTGGAAGTATGTTTGTTGGTTTTCACTGAGGAACTCATGATGTGCTTTGTCCAGCTATCATTTTTAATGGTGACTGGCACTTAGCTTCAGCTTAAAAAATCTGGAAAAACAAAATTTGGCATGAGCTGAAAATGTCAAAAAATGGCTGATTTCCTTCCATTGAACTCATTGGTTGAAATACCTTTTAGATGCAAAGAAAAAAAAAGGTATTTGATCCTTTTTCCAGAAATTGCTAATAAAACACATGCCAACACCTGGCAAAAGAGTTCCTTTCAACATACTGAGTATTTAAGTTGTGGGTTTCCTTATGTCCATGGAAAATGAGTACCAAAGTAATCCAAACTTATTCCATAATCTCCCATGGTAGAGCCTGTGGTTCAATGATTCCCAATTCTAGGGGCTTTTTTTTGGTTCAGAAAGAAAACTCATGTGAAAGAGAAATCACTAAAATATATCACAGCTATTTCATCTGGGCAGTACTGGGTCAACTGCAGCACTGCACCAACAATTCCATCCACAATATGTCTTGCTGTTGCTGTTCATTTGCTTTTTCTTTTAAGTCTACCAAGCATCAGAACTTTTTTTTTTTAATCCAAAACCTAATAAAATCATGTAAGCATGTAATCCAAGCTGTTATTGGCAGAAAATTCAAACAAGTATCAAAATAAAGATGAATGTATGTCAATTGCATATGCACAGTCTATCTAAGAGCTGGAGTGACTTTTCTGATAGTATATCCAAGAAAACTCTTATATCAGAGGAATCCGCACCAGATTTGAGAAATTGTTCTTTATGCCAGAAGTGTTGAATAGAACTGTAGATAGATAATATTGTCTTGGAGAAAGCATGGAGCTGGGCAACAAAGCTAGAAACAGCTGAATTACAGATGCACCCCGACACGTAAAACACAAGAAGGTTATTTATATTTTGGCTATATGCAAAAGCTAGCTCTAATCTCAGAATTCAAGTTAGAACCTAAGTGTTGATGTAATAATGCTGATTTTTATGATCATAAATTATATTAATGCATTTAACACTATCATGACTACTGTTCACCTGCAAATATATAAATGATGTAATTTTTGGACTTAGTATTCAAATTCTTTGGAATTTTAAGACAATCATCAGGGAAATACATTTGATTCATATATTTAATTATGTTATTGTTCCTATTAATTACTAGAAAAGTAATAAATCACTGCAACCAGAAGAGTGGTTAGAAAGTAAGAAAAATAAGTTAAAAACTAGGGAAAAGAAGCAAATGAGGAAGCTGCTCAGAACCATGGTATCCAGAAACCATATGGAATAAGTTATGAGGGAAACCTATTGAAGCAATGAACATAAATGATTTCAAGAGACACCTAAATTGTTTCTGAAGGAAGAGACAGAGGGAAGTTGTTAAAAAGAAAAGAAAAATAAAGTGGAAAAAAGATCAATCAAAAGATAAATCTGTTGGACAGATGGTCTTATTCTGTTCCTAGGATATCTTTGTTTCTTAAAATTGAAAATTAAAGTAAAAATGTAATACCACATTTGCCCAGTAGCCTGAAATAAAAAAGAGAATCTCAGCCCCAATTTTAATTTCCTTGAATTCATCATTCAGTGACATACCAAACTTGTCTTTGGAATATATGAGTGTATATCTCGTTTTACAATTCCTAGTGTAAGATGGGCTGCCCCTTCAGGCACTACATTTATGCCCAAATTTATCTCACCTAACTTTAGATCCCTTAGTAAAGTGTAAGATCCTTGACCAGCCACTGCAGACAGCCTGGACCACCCCTGAGCTCCAACCAAACCTGAAACACCCTCAGAGGGTGCCTGTTACTGAGGTGTAAGAAGCCACATCAGGAGACAGAGAATGAACTCACACAGAATGAGTAAAGTTCAAGGCCATGGCACATCTTGTGCGCCCAAAAATACATGAGGATAGGCAAGAGAAAATGATGAAATGAAACCCTTCTGCTTACATTCTGCAAGATTTTGTGGCTCCAAGCACAAACGGGTGCACTGGTACCACTGCAGATACACTGAGCAATCAGTCAGGCAACAAAAACTTTCATTATCTTTTTCTTACTCCCTGTGCTGTCACCTGCCACACATGGTAGTTTCCCCAAGAAATGGCTGATTTACAAGTCATTTTAGAGGATTTTAAACCTCTGGTTATTTAATGAAATGGTAATAAATGAAACCTGCTTTGCCCCAGGTGTCTTTCTAAGTAAGTTGTAGCCACATGGTATGCAGCAATGATCATTGCATGCATGTGTGAGCATGTGCATACGTGTGTCCAGATGCTTTCTGCTTTAAGAATTCACAACTGGAAAGGAAAATAATACGCATAACCAGTTTGGGGTTTTTTAATGTAATGTTTTCAATAGGTGTTAAACAGCAATAAATCACCTGTCCCTTCTACAAAAGAGACTGTTTTGAATTGGAAAGAGCTCAATCATTTCCTGTATCCATCAGCTCTTTGATTTAGGTTAGTTAAACGTAGGTAGAGAGTGTTCTCCCTCTCCTTCTGCTGATTTTCCTTCTTGTTTTAAGGCAATAGAGGTATCAACAGCATCTTAAAATTTTATGGACAGATTATTGGTTACAGGCCTCCTGAACCACCTAAGGATGGCTGCTTCTCTACCCTAGCTGTAGAGCTGCCATACAGACTAGAAACAATCTCCAACAACGCTTGCGAGGCTCCTTTGTGCACTCTCACAGATCCAGTGAACACAAGAGCTTGAATGCCATATTCTCACCCCAAAAATGCATTCTGCTTCATATACAGAAGGGAGAGGAGAATTGCCACATGTGTGCTTGCGTAAGACCAGAAGAGAACAAACAGCTCCTGCAGAGACCCTTAAATTACAGTCTTAGACTTTTTGAGTTTTTCTGTTTGGAAGCTTTGAGAGCTCCCACATATACAATAAAAAGAACTAAGAATAAGATTTTAGAACTACACCACAAAATAGTAGTTATCCCAAAAGAAGAGTTTGCTGGCTGTTTGCATGGGTGCATATTTAGTGACTACATTTTTTCATGAAGCTTTCCTCATTGCTGGTGGGAATTTGATAAGCCACCACAAAAAGAAATGAATGAGTGATTTCATTTCAAAGGCATCTTACCAGTGGGCTACCATCAGTCCAGCGGAAATCACGCTCAAACATCTTGTCATTGAGGCCAATCCACTGGTAGTCATGCCCAATACCTAAGGAACCAGAAGGATATTTTTATTAACCTTCCCATAAATGGAAGAGATTTCACCAAAGAAAATAAAAAGAATTTGCACAGAATGAATCAGACATCCTGTTCTTAAGATTCTTCTACTCATTATGCAAACAACTATTTACAGGCTGTTTTTCAGCTTTTCGGTTTTAATTTGGGATGTCTATAAATACGCAGATTCTCATCTACAGTTTTAAACAATCATGTCTTTTCTCTCCTGATGGTGTCTCCCAAAGAAAACAGATTAGTTTCCTACCTGAGAGCATATGATGGGGAGGAAAAAAGGCAAAAAAGATTAAAATAATAAAAGCATGTATTTTAATCTATGTTTTTAAAGTTTTGATTAGGCTGTGACCAGTGTTGTCTAAATTGGGTAACACAACATACAGGAACTATTTCTTTATGCCTACCTAACATAATATATGGTGGCTTGGTCATTGATGTCAGGTGCACAAAAAATCTAACACCTCCAGAAAAAGATGTTTCATCAATTTCCAATGCCAAAAAACCAGTTCCCGTTCTCCTCCTCAAAAACAAAGTATTTGCTATGTAACAAATAATAACTTAATAGTTATAGGGAACTTGCATTCACTGCAAAAATAAACATGAAGAACACAAAGTGTGCCTTTTAAACATTCTAAAAGTATATTTTAAGATGGAGATGTAAAAGCTGAGTCATCAGGAGGATATTTCACTAGCTTTGAACCCTCAGTGCCCACTCTTGCTTAGAGGAATCCTAACAGTACATACGGTTCACAAAGATCTGCTCCTCATGAGACAAGATGCTTGTCAAGTGTGCTCCCTGGAGACGGCATTCCCTTTCAGCTGTGTCCCATGTACGCCGATGGGCAAAGTATTTGTAGCACTGTCCTTGGAACTTGTGCCAGCCATAATCACAGGTCTCCGTGTCTGTGACAAATAAATAAATCACATCTCTGTCAATGGGCATGAAACACAGGCATGTTTCATGCAAGCAGATAGATTTTCTTCAGGGCAGAAGTTCAAGAAGATACCCACCTGTTAAGCAGTACAAATGCAAACAATCAACACTCATCCTTGAGACCTCATTACATTTTCCAGTACTGCTGTTTACCCAGTACAAGCTGCAAAAATATTACTTATATAAGGTGTATAACTGCAACTGGCAACTTTGTGAGCGTCCACTGCTCAAATTGTGCTGTATTTGGACAATCTCAGGAGGACATCTTCAGTCCATAACTCTTGATGAATGAAATGTCTGGATGTTGGACTGCAGTTAGACTAAATTTCATCTCAGTTTTCTGAGTCTGTATGTGGGGATGGGAATTTTTACTTGCAAGGGCAAATAGTTCTTTGAGTGACTGTACTGAATTACTTTGGTTTGGAGGAAACAAATAACTGAAAATAATATGAAGGAAAGTGCTTTTGATTGTTCAGTCCACAGATGCAAAGCTGAAGTATTATCTTTCTGAACCTACCCCTCCAAATCCTCCTCTAAAACCCACCTTCCTTGACAAAGTCTAACTTAATAAACTTTAGACATCAGTTTCTAAGGAAGGCTGTAAAACTGAAATACAAAATAATGAAATGCACATTGTCTGTGCTTGTATGAGGGATGGTACTGATAAGAATGCATAATAGACAGAAGTTTACATCAGCCAGTATATCCTTCCATCTAAAGAGAAATAAATAAACACAAGCCCTGGAACAGTAACAATCCATGGACTTGACATTAATATTTTGTCAAGGTTAGGCAGCTGTAAACAGAACAGATGGCAAGAACCAACAAAGTTCCCGTTCCAAGTTTGCTTCTGCATCAACACTGCAGGAATTAATCACAGACGAAAATCAGTATTAATAAGATTGGATTAACAAATATGATGCCTGAATGTGTCTGAGCTGTGCTTGATGATCGGAAGAACTTGCCACTGAGAAGAGTTTTAGGAAGGAATGGGAGAAACAATAGGGAAAACTCAGACTGTTTTGAGTTACGGCAGATGAAATGGCATCATAAAGGACACTTCAGCACAAGATTACAGCTTGTTCTCACTACAGCCAGTTCCAGCTATCTAAGCACATAATGGCTCACCCTGAAAGAGCTCAGTTGCAGGATGTTGAAGAACTGAAACACAAAGTTTGGCCTTCCCCACCCCACCCACCAAACAGAAATTTGCCACTTCCCACCAAGTTTTACCAACCCCTAAACAAATCTGTGCCTGAAAGCAACTGTCTGGCATTTCCAGAGGTATAGATATGTTCTGGGTATGAAATTGGATTTATATTCAGTGAGCCAATATAGTCAATAGTCAATAACATGCTTTGGCCAAAGGGGAGCTTTTTGCATTAGTACAGAAAAAGCCAGATATTACAGTATATGCCAACGACATACAACTGCAAATTCTTTAACTATGATATTTCTTAGGTTTGAACAGCTACCACCTGAAAGACAATTGTGGAATAATTTTTTCACAACAGAAGGCTGTTTCTTAATTCATAGCAGGAAAAGGCCATTCACATCCTGAAGCACCAAAATGTCTATTTTTTAAAAAAAGTATTTAAATCTTCCAAGATAAAAACTAGAGTTTACATGTACATAAATGGATTTAAAAGTGCAAACATACCACTTCGGAGGTTTATCAGAATTTCTCTGACAATTCCTGGCAACACTGATAACAGAGCAGTCATTGTCTTAGGAGTCTGGTATCAAAATCGTTTTCTAAAAGTCATCACCACAGACATAAATCTACCAAACACAAAGGCTTACACTGATTATGTCTCTTCTATTTTCAACAAGTTAAGCTGTAGAAAACTGCTTGTGCCTTGAGTAATCCCAGCTATGAAAAAGGAATGTAATCTATACTACCAACTTGTTAGTTTTTTATCTTTTCCCTCTTTGTATTCTGTATGAGGACCAGGCTGCAGATACAGCTTTAATCTCTGGCATCTAGGCCATTTTAAAGTTTAGTCTGCCTTTGGCTTTCTAGAACATTTGTTTAACCACACAATGCTGACTAACAGTGCTATGTCCTTTGTGAAGGCACTTAAGATTTTATTATTCATCTTGTTCAGGTACACCCTTGTCCCACAGGAAAGAAGTCAGATAATAACAAGTAGCATTGCATGCTGAGAAAATCGTGGCCAGAGAGCATTTCCAGGCTATTCTAATCAAGCCTTTTCTGGCCTCTGCTAGGGAAGAAGTGCGCGATTTAAGAGAAGATCTGCTGAAACGCACATGGAGGAGGCAAAGATGCTTGAAAACACAAAACCTAGAAGACTGGGTTCAAAGAATGAGCAATAATGGCCTGAGCATGAATCATAAATAACAAAATTTCTTCTCGTAAGGTAGAGGGTGCGGAACGGTGACATAGGTACTCTTAGTTGAAATGCCTGCACTGCCGTGCACATAAAACTCCCTCTTATCCAAAATGGCATGTTTTTTTCCGAAAGGGAAAAGTTGAATAACTTCTTCTGCACCTGTTTGTAGCCCAAATCTACAAAGACAGAAAAAGACAGAGATGATGGCTACAAAATACGTACAATTTTTAGAATAGGAAAGAGAAGATTTGGTGTTTGGTTTGGGGTTTTTTGGGTTTTTTTGAGAGGAGAAGTTAATGAGAAGAGGGGAGAAAGGAATGTGGAAAAGGGAGAGTCAGGAGGCTAGAGGATGAAAAATGCAAACCATGCAAGTAAAAATGTGGGGACTGTTTTGTCTCTGCAGTGTTTTGTCCTGAGTGTGTGTATCTTACTACGTTAAAAAAGCTGAAACGGTGACACAAAGGTAAGGCCTTCATATAGGTATAAGTTATTAATGCCTTTACTGAACCAGTAAAGTCTAATTGCAGGTGGCTGTACATTTTCTGACCCGATCACCTGTGAGCAAATAGGTGCAAGCACTTACTGGATACAATACTCCATGTACATTGTATACTTATCCAGGGAGGTAATCACAGCTTTCTGTAACCTTATTCCAGAACGTGATGGAAAGACTGAAACACTCTTGCCATATTTATGGTGTTTTAAAAGTTGTCTGACTAGACTTAAGATTTATGACAATTTACAGGCCTTTTCAGTGATGTGTGCAAGGAGTTACTTACACAGCTTCTGTTCTCTGTAACTGCAATTGTATATGTATAACAACATCTCTAAACTCTGCATTTAAAAAAAAGTTCTCTGTAGGTTTAATACATAGATAGCTACTGCTTTTTCAACAGCTGCAACAAGCTGTTGACAATAGGTGCCTTGTCTTTAAAGAAATTCCATAAAAGGCTTAAAGAAAATAAAGAAACACAGGTACTAGAACATAATGAGAGTTCTACTCAGCTGTGAATTTTATCTGTTATTGTCTGCCTTCAGCTAATGAACAGAAGTCTGAGGGCCATTAGCCCACACATCTTGAGGAGAAACAATTTCTCTGGTAAACATTCAAAATAATCTCTTCTCAGCTGAAAGACATCAGTTAGAGACCATCTGTTTTCAGAAAGTATCTTTGCACTGAGCCCTTCTCAAATACTTCCATCCCAAGCTACCAAGCCCTGGGAACAAAGTGAATCAAATGAGACCAGAGTAGTCACAGACATTTAAACAATGAACTTGGGTTATAAAAAACCATTGTTCCTGATATGATGATTAAAAAACCCAGTTGTTTTATTTTCAGAACCTGGAAGGCAACAGCTGGTTTTATTATCCCAAGGAGGCACATCCCATAACAAACAGATATATGCCGTTTTGGCACACAGGTCCATGCATGCAGCTGCATTTGGTAAACAGGCTAGCCTAGGTGCTCCTGCAGAGATCCTGCAGTGGAGAAACCCAAACCTTAAGTTTAAAACACAAACACAATTCCTTGAAAGCAGGTAGACACCAGTTAGAATAGCAAAAGGAGAAAAAGAAAAGGAAGCAGAAAATTTAAATAGGTGCTCGTCCAGTCCTGATAAAGAACACTTATTCTTGAAACTGAGGTTCAAATTGCAAGTCTCTACCATTTTGTTGTTTCCCATGTAACTATTCATGAAGGAAGGTACTCCTCACCACAAATACAGATGGCCAGATAATGCAACAACAGACTTTCATATACCCCACTGGTCCCTGGGGACTATTCTCTACAGTTGGTTCCACCAGCCCAGTGTGAAACAGGGTATCAAACAACCCTCCTCTCCTCTTTCCTCAAACATGGAGCTTGCAAAGCAACACTTCAGGCAACAAATTGGGAAGATCTGAGCTCTGGGCTCATTTATCTGGACACCGAGAGTACTCATAAGGGCTTTTCACAGGGGGATGACAATGGAAAGACTGATGGCTCCCCCAGGGTAAGACTTGCATGAAGATCTACTGTAGCCTGCAGTCACCCTTTGAAAAAGTGTTTTTGGCATATTTCTGCATTTTCAGAAGTGATGTTCAAACGTCACCAAGTGGCATGCAGAATATGCATCTGTACTTTGAAAAGATACATTTTGTGGGCAAAAGAGAGTATTATCTAACAGAGTACTCCACTCACATTTAATCTAGTCTGAACCAGAGGCGATGCTGGCTTACTGAGCCACCAATCTAGTTTAAAAAGGAAACACCCTCAGCTGCTCTATTTCTAACATCAGACAACTTTAGCTCTCTTCAGGAAGAAGTTCCTGGGCTCAGATTGTCTGCTGAACTGTTTCCACCTGGCAAGAAAAACGGCTGTCAGGGAGCCAATTACAGCTCACTGAGTCTCAGGATTGATTTCCCTCACCCTAGGTTAGATCACCCTGAAGGCTCCTCTAACTTCTACCACCTGCTGGAGCTGCCCGATGTGCAGCTGCACTGTCCTCTGGTCACATCCCCTCCTAATGCTGAGACAGGCGTAATACATCAGCCAAAAATCCTTTAGTCTAGAAAAGTCTCACGGGGGCATTTGGGTGAAATTCTGAGCTATAAGTTTTTCCTGTACCAGTGTGATGGGACAAGGACACGGTGGAGTTGTCTCCTACTTTGAGCTTCTTTTCCAGAGGCAATGTACACTCACTGCTTCCATTCCCTTCCACAGCATTTTGAATACTCAGCACCATGCCTAAGAAAGGCCTTCAGCCTGACTTTTTTCAAAGCTTTCTAAAATGAATAGTATATATTGGAGGGGAAAAAAAAAAAAAAGAGTAATGAAATATAATCTCGGTGTGCTCAACTCCACCTTTCCTGTGGTACCGAGGTACACATTCTGTCGTTCTGGCTGGTCTTTAAATCTAGTGAGGTCAGGACTGGTGCCTTGAAATAAAGCCTGCTTGCCAGACAAGTGTGTCTGAATTGCCAACACAGTTTTATTTTGTCTGGTGGAGTGGAAATTTGGCACTAAATGCTTTTCCCAAGTCCCAAACCACTGCAGGACTTTAAGTGGAGGAAATTTAAATTCCAAAGCTGAGTGAGCAGGGCTCTGGTTCTGATTGACAAACTAGGAAATGTTCCCATTAACCACCTAAAATGTGCTCTCAGGTTGGTCATAAAAAGCAGCTCAAAGCTACCACGGTACTCAGAGCCACTCGCTACTATGGATTTGCTGCAATGAAGGGGAGGAGGAAGGGAGTGAGAAGATTTATTTCTTTTTTGTGAAAACACTGTCAACTTGTAATTTTGGAGAACAGATTCAGAAAGACCTTTCAAATTGCAGGGTTAGCCAGACTACAGAAAAAGTTAAACAGTGAAAAGTGCTGGAGCTGGTCAGTTTTGAGAGTTTTCAGCTCTGACAAACAAATCTCTATAGGTTGAGCTAGAAGAGTTTGCAAACTGCCTTTCACTGAAGATGAGAAACAAACAGGAAAATAACACAGTATTAATTAAACAAATCCAAAGGCCTAGTTCATTCACTTGTGGCCAAAACCATTCAGCCGAAGAAAAAGAGAAAAATATTTTCATAAGCTTTAGAAAGTACACCTTAAAACACCACTTATTTTTCCCATGGAAATGCCTTCATGAATTTTACTGACAAAACAGATTTTGCTACCCTATTCCTCCTCCTACATGCACATACTGAGTAAGCATCTTGCACTGTCAGTATTTCTTGTAAATACAGTGGGATTTCTTGCAGGCAATGTTCTAACAATTACAGAGACCTGGATGTTTAATCTGATTTCAGTTGTCCAGTTTAGAAAGCCTTTTACAACTTCTTTGTAATTGTGATCCTGCACCTACTATTCCTAAAATAATCACAGAACAAATCGGTTTGAAAATTCTGGGATGAAGTTGTAAAGGCTATGGTTCCCAGTGGATGAGTAATCTGGCGTGTTCAGTAGATTATTGCTACTTTCCAGCAATACTTGGAAGTTACTGGTTCTGATATGTCTCTCATACTGTATATAATTTTTTAGGACAGAAGCTTGGTCAGAGAGTAACTCTGTTCCCACTCATTATTCCATAAGCATCACTACAGTAACAAGAGAAACTCAGTATGTGTCTTCCCCATCATTTGCAAGCCAATATAAGCAGGCTGTGCTTGCCTTGGAACCACCTGAAAACTATACAGCTGTTGTTATTTTGACACAGAAACTGCACAATATATCACTTTATATTTGGTACAGGGGTAATGTGACTTCTAGTCAGGTTAGCATGTGGATAGAGTTTGCTTTCATCCATCTGCAAAAGATGGTGCAGATTTAACAAACAAAAAGTCCTGAGCCACAAATTATGGGAGTCTAACACACTCAAAAATTATAACCTCTCCTCATCGCTGATGACTTCCCACAGATTTTGACAGTTTCTTCCATCCTTTCAATTTTAGGAGGCTTTGCCTAGTTGCTCCAGAAGGGTCTTGAAATGGAAACAGATGACCTTGATCACCATAGATTAAAGAACACACCTTACCTTGTTCACAGAGAGCACCTACATAGCTTGGCAGACACAAGCAAGTAAAGGTATTGAGGCCATCTATACACGTGGCTCCATTCCGGCATGGGTTAGACTGGCATTCATCGATATCTACAACATAGAGATAAAAGTGTTTTTAAAATCCACCCACCTCCTAAAAGGGAAATGTTCTTCAGCTTTAGTCATACTTATTACTAGGACCAGTTCAATCCAGAAGAATGAAGTATTGCAAAAGATCCAAATGACCAGTTTATTTGCATGATAACTGATCTCACTACACACAACCTTCCTTTCTCTTCATCCAGATGCCAAGAAGCAGTTTCCTCAGGAAATGTGACATTACTGACCCACAATTTTATATCCTGCACTCTAACTCCTGAGTTAATTTCTAAAATCTAGACCTTCAATTCCTCATTTTGTAGCTGAGAAAGAAGTGATACTGTGCAGTGTGTAGTATTTTCCTGTACTGGCAGAAAATTTGACTTAAGTGTGTGACCATGGCACAAAAAATTCTCATCAAGTATTGGAGACCTCAAATATCTTCACAAATCTCAAATATTGGAAATCTTATCATATATCATCAAACAGACTGCTAATTTCAGTCTGCAAAGCAGCATGCCCTGGCATCTTATTGGTTTGCATTTCTCATTTCATCCTTGTCTAATATTATCAAGGTAAGGACAAAGCATCATAAAGACAATCTCACTAAATGACCAGTCAGATAGTAACATTCATAGTCATGCACAAGTTTACTGCTAAGCCTATGGCTCTAGAGTAAACAAATAACATTTCTCTCCCCTGCTTCTCTGGCTGCTAAAATACCTTGTCTTTGCCTTTTAAATTGGAGCACTAGTTCATTTAATATAATTATTTTGTGCATTTATTTGCACAGGTTATAAGCTATTATGTCTCTTTATAAAGATCATATGGTGTTTTCTAATGAGTGCTGTTTCTCTGAAACAATCACAGCATAAACTTTGCAAACATCTTAGTCCAAAGTGAACTGCTGGTAGTGATTGACTATTAAAGTATAAGAAAGAAGTTAAACACATCTACAAACCACCAAGCAGTTGTGCAATCCTAGGAATAATTGCTGCATCACCTGAAAGGTTTTTTAAAGATACTTTTATTTAAATAATTACTTCTGTTCAAATTTTATGCTAGGTCCTATTTGTTTCAGTCATTTGGAAAGCTCTCAAATCAATGTTTTATGCCTCATATACAGTCCATCCCTGAATCCAGGGCTAAAAACGCTGAGGTTTACTTTCTTAAGCACCACAGAACATATTTCTATATGGTGACTGGCCGTGGAGTGTCGCACTCCAATTTGTTAATAAGCCACTAAGAGTTTTAGGGGGCAAGAAGTGGCCAGATTATTCTTTTATAATCTAAAAAAAAAAGAGAAAACTATTATCTCTGACCTCTGGTTTGCAACCAGGGCATGCAATATTCTCTGACAAAGAAGAAGATTTAAGATGCAACATCTAAAACTTGATATCTACCAGCAGCAACCCACTAGGGAACTAGCAAACTCATCAACATGAGCTAGGAAAGCAGAGAAAAACACTGGCTAATTATTTTTTTAATCATATACTGTCTTGCTGAACACAAATAAAACCATAGTAATCCTGACAATTGTGCTGCACTGATATCAACCTTTGGGTGGGGTTGGTTTTTTTCTCCCAAGCTATATATGATGAGTTCTTTATACTAGGTTCGAAGGAGGTAAGGGATAAAACTAGGTGCACCAGAGATGACCCTGGGGGCAGCATGCCGATGTTAGGGGTGGATTCGATAACCCAGCTCAAATGCATCTATGCCAACACACACAGAATGGGCAATAAACAGGAGGAGCTGGAAGCCATCGTGCAGCAGGATAGATATGACTTAGTTGCCATCACGGAAACATGGTGGGATGACTCCCATGACTGGAGTGCTGCAATGGATGGCTACAAGCTCTTCAGAAGGGATAGGGAAGGTAGAAGAGGTGGTGGGGTGGCTCTCTATGTTAGGGAATGTTTTGACTGTACAGAGCTACATGATTCTGATGACAAGGTGGAGTGCTTATGGGTGAGGATGAGAGGGAAAGCCAGTAAGACAGATATTGTGCTGGGAGTCTGTTATAGACCGCCCGACCAGGTTGAAGAGATGGATGAATCGTTCTACAAGCGGCTGGCAGTAGTCTCAGAATCGTGTGCCCTTGTCCTTGTGGGGGACTTTAACTTTCCAGACATGTGCTAGAAATATAACAGCAGTGACTAAACAATCTAGGAGGTTCCTGGAAAAAAAAAAAAAAAAAAAAGAAAAAAAAAAGAAAAAAGAGGAAATGGCCTCAAGTTGAGGCAAGGGAGATTTAGGTTAGATATTAGGAAAAATTTTGTTACTGAGAGGGTTGTCAAATATTGGAATGGGCTGCCCAGGGAAGTGGTTGAGTCACCATCCCTGGAGATATTCAAAAAGCGAGTGGACAGGGTACTTCAGGACTTGGTTTAGTGGGCATGGTTAATGGTTGGACTCGATGATCTTGAAGGTCTTTTCCAACCTAAATGATTCTATGATTCTATGAGTTTAACTCATTTTAGTAACATTGCATGAGTTTTTTTCTTTCAGGTTTGGCAGGCAACTGTGTAATAGGCAAATCCATGTTTTTTATCAGGGAATGAAAGTTACAAATTTTCAAAAGCCTAAACCAGCTCTACACTAAACAGCCAAACTACCACTTCTATCATACTTTGGCTTGCTGATGGAAGGAAAAGCTAGTTATTCTGAACTGTACTGGTGAGTCTCTTCAAGCTCCCAGTCATAGCAGGTAAACACAAATGTCACAGGCAGCTGAGGACCAAGAGGTCCTCAGCTAGAAGAGTTACCAAAATACTAACTTATACCAAAGATGTATACAATTATGATCATGTGTACAATTTTCTTGAAAAAATATCAAGCTGGCATTCAGTGCTCAGCTTCCTAGTCACATTTGGGATTAGTTTATCTTACCACTCTTTCAAATAATTACACAAAGCTCTTAAGAACTATCCCAAATATTAATGTTTATTTGGTTTTAGCTGATGTATTTATGAATTTAATGTTATGAATTCTAGGTCATATAGTTCATTTACAATTGTCTTAATGTTTGTGTACATACACATCTATGCACTTTATTGGGAGAGACAAAAGGGGTAAGGGGACGTCCTTCATTTTATGGTTCTCAAGTAAGGCGTCATTGTAGAATTTTTCAAATGTCTATGTATTCTTCAACTTCAAAACACACCACTTTTGCAGTTCTTATGTATGAAAACTTTATACTAGACTTAATCAGTATCTAGATGGCATCAGCTTACCTAATTCACACTGCTCGCCGTTGAAACCTGGCAAACATGTACAGATGTAAAATGAACCACGTGGATAACAGGTACCACCATTAAGGCAGGGATTGCTTTTGCATGGATCTTGGCCTGTTAAACAAGTAGAAAAAGAATTGACACTGTAGTTTAAAGGAACTGGTGTCTTTTTGATTTTTTGGAAGAAGAAATCTTTCTTCATTTCTGCATGGATGTTGCAGGCTTTACTGTAGTTACAGAAACTCTATTAACATAATAGACTACTGAGAATAAGATGGTTTTGTAAAATAGTAAAGCTTATTTTCAGGCATCACTATTTTCAACTTTAACAACAACTTGGCATTTACTATGAACCAGTATAAATAATTTTCGGAATTATATTTTTTCATAGCAATTTGTACTATATTTGGCAGTCATGATATTCTATTGAGGATTTAGTTTGCATGACATGACAATTAATTATAGCTGAAAACAGTTAAGCATATGCAAAATGAATGGAAAATGTTTTGGGGTTTTTTTTCAACAGGGTTAGTTTATGTAGAATGATTGGGTACACAGAACATACTGGCTGGCTGCTGTTGTTTGACTGTTTTACATTTGATCAACCAATGCCCACAGTCTTATTTCTTTGAAAGAATGTTTTCAAACATGCATATTTCCTACCTGTGTTTCTTAAAAACAAGAATACAAATATAAGTACTGAATACATTCGTAACTGAACTAAACATTAAGATAAAAGCTTACCTGCTGTGAAATCCTCAGTTGTTATGGGAGTTATCATTTAAACAGCTTTTCCTTGCAGAGCTTTATGCCTTCTAGAGATGTTTATTTCAACTGAGTTTAGATACCTAGGTATCTGCATTTGATTTAATGCCTAGGAGCAATCACTCACACAAGTACACACTAGATAACCATTTCTAAGTATTAGCTTCTCAGAGTTAGAGGAAAATCATGAAGACAGTCCTTCTGGGATACAAGAAGAAAGCCCTGGCTTTGAGAACTTAAAAAATGGGTGAAAGAGTTCTGTAACCTAAGTTAATTCAGAGACACAAGGAAAGTTTAGATTTTTGGTTATATTTTTCCAAAACATCTGACTATGGTTTATGAATTAAAAGATAAGTAACATCTATTTTACCCTTGCAAGTTAGACATTCAAAGAAGTCTTCCTAAAGCACCAAGTTCCCTATCTAGTCACTGGAAAACAAAAGGTTCAGTTGAAAGCCTCCAGAAGAAAATCCCATCTAGGTAAGATGGGATTGTAATTAATTGGGCAAGATCTTGCTTTGGAGGTTTTGAAAATAATCTGATCATATCCACAAAATAGGGTGCATGTTTTAGGACTGCTTCACTGAAAGTTGCACATGTAGGGCTATGTTAAGAACCTAATGATGTTTATCATGCGTTTACTGTCTGTCCTCTTACGGACTAGGTATTTTCCCAGTAAACATTTTCAAATTGACACCTATCTGGATTATTTGAGGAAAAATAATAGAAAACCATACAAAATTAAGCCAGTTCAATTCTTTCCTCAGCTATATCTAGATAAAATATGAATTGAAGCGATGCTACTTGTACTGACCCTACCTGCATCATCTGTGTGTTTGGTGAAATGGTGCCTAATAACCATTATGTAAAACAAAACATTGTGGCAAATGATGTCTAACAAAAAGATCTGTAATTTATGAGACAGACACTGTATCAACCAGTTAAAGCTACAGACAGGCTGAAAACATGAAGTCTCAGTTTTCTTTTGTCTGGAAAGTCATCTTGTAGCTTAAGAGAAGTTAATTTTTACAGAAAATTAGGATCCTAAAATGCACACTGGATCTGCTAAGTCAACTGCAAAATGTTATAAAACAACCCTATCTATAAACCAATTGTATAAGTACTATCATCATGCCAACACAAGAAAAGCTATCAGACAAAATTATCTGTTGGAAATTGGAAAATTAAGTAATTACGGCTGAATTCTCTACCACAATCAATGTTACCTTCCTGTCTTTTAGAACTGGCTGGTCACCTCAAGTCTGATCCAGAGCTCCATGATGCAAACACTCAGGAAAAGTCACTGAACTTGAGTTTTGGTACCCCCATTCTCCTTCACTTTGTAGAGGTTACAATCATGCTGACTTCAAAGCTTGAGGCTCATGAGTTCTGTTGTTACTTCATTCGGTGCTCTGATTGCCATACCTCTTATCAGAGTTAAGACACACATTTACAAGTACCATAACAAACATATAAGACAGTGATCATATTTGGAAGTTACCTGGAATTTGCACTGCTGTGCCTTCAACTGAACCCACACTGGTGCCAATCAGGAAATCTGATCCATTAGTGACTTCCGGAAGGGAAAATGATGAAGTTACAAGTTCAATAGTATTTGGCTCCTTAGAGCTTATCGTTGACTGCTTATTTTGATATGGACTGTTTCCAGGGGCAGTGTCATTTGTTGCAATGTTAGAAGAAATTGTTGTGATCTCCTCTCGACCAAACAAAGCTGATTGTGTTTCCATGCTTCTATCCAATGGTTGTGAAGATGAAGCTGGCATTGTAAATGCTTCCTGGTCAGGTTTAAATACTTCATTGTCAATAGTATTGGGTGAATCTGAAACAGGTGTGGAAAAAAGCCATGGGATCTCTCTCTCAGTACTTCTGTCACCTTCTTGACGGGGGTTATTCACTGTCCCTGAGGAAGCTTCAACTTCTATTGTGCTAACTTTCGGAACATCTGTGTTCACTGTTTCTCCAAAATTCAGAAAAGCAGTAGGCAATATGTGTATTGATGGAGAATCTCCAGAAACAGTAGCTTCTTCCTCAACAGCCAAATCAGTTACAGTTACAGTCTCCTCCGTTCTGTCTGTTACAAGTCTATTAAAGTGAGGAGTACTTTCAGTAGTTGTACTTTCTGAAACAGGCTTGGGAGAAAACTCCAGCAGAGAAGACTCTGTTCTGTCGAGAAGGTCTGTAGTGGGTGGTTTATATGTTGCTGCAATATCAGAACTAACCTCTCTGAAGGTACCTTCTGATGAATGATCGGACTGATCTGAATCCTTTGATGATGATGTACTTGGAATGATTACCTCAGGATACTCAGATACTCCATTAACTAACTGAACAGTTACTGAGGATTTAGGAGTTTGAGGTACAGAAGAAAAGCTCACTGAATCTGTTCCTTCATACTCTGCTGATGCCGATTTTGTGTTTGTGTATACTGTAGGATGCTTTTCTTCATTCCTGCTAGATGATACAGTTGTCAGTTGGGTTGTACGCTGTGTGGTGACAACATTTACATCAAGCATGTCAGTTGTCAAAGACTTTTCTGTCTCAGTAGTTAAAACTGGTGTAAGAGAAGGAACCACAGGCTGCTTATCATACAGTTCTTCTTGGCCCATTCCAGAAAAGCCAGAGACAGAGATTGTTTCACTTTGATCTGCTATTACTCGGTTGTTTGCTGAAGTATTCAGCTCATAGGTGTCTTCTGTTGTGCTTGTTACAACATGTTTAGACTCATGAGGCACATGAGGGCTTGCCATTGATGGTACTGTAGGAAGGAAAATGCCCAGTTCAGAGAGTTCGGTAGTGATAAGAGTGTCTGTTGCAAACTTCATGGCATTTCCTGAACCCAAATCCTTGTCATCTGATTTTGGTCTGTGCCCAGCTGTTACAGATTCACTACTTGGCTGACTGGAAGTAGCCAAAGAAAGACTATCACCAGATCCAAGTGTCTTCTCTTTGGTTATGGTAAATTTAGGTGTTGATTCGTATCTCTTCCCTTCAGCTGTCATGCTATCATTACTGCTGTATGTTGATTGTATGACAGGATTTGGCATTGTCTGCACACTTATTATATCTTCAGGCATTGATTTTGAATGATCCATATCGATAATCGTTGTTTCTTCTGATGGGATTTGAAGTCGTTCTTCAATTAGTGTAATATCACCATAAACAGAAACATTCAGTATAACACTTCTTTTATCATCAATCACAGGAATAATTTTCTCATATATCCCAGTATCACTTGTTAGTTCTTCCGATGTAGCTGTCTTTGGTTGAACAGCAGATGGATTTGCCACAATCTCTTTTTCTTCTGTAAAAAGGGATGCTAGTCCTGTGATCACAGTCTGTGATCCATCTATCGGTGCCTCTGTTGTCACTTTTGACATAGGGGGTATTGGCAAATGAGTAATCATATCAGGAGAAGATGAATCCAAAACACCAACCCAGCCAGACCCTTCTCCAGAGCTTTCAGGTAATACTCTGGCTGGCATTTTTGTTGTTGAAGTGACAAGCGATTCCTCTGTTTCAAGATCAGGAGTTCTACTCAGTATTACAGAACCAGGAGTTATGCCATCTTTAATCAGCAAATGTGAAGTTTCCTCTTGAGAAACAGCTTTAGAAGTAGCTGTTGTCCTATCTGTTTCATTTTCTCCTCCCCTATAGTTAGTTTCCTTCTTGTGAGGTTCTTCAATTGCAACAAAATAATGTGTCATCTCTTTAATCTCTTTAGAGCTGAAGCTCTTGGAAGTCTCTTCTGATAAATCTGGGGAACTGGTGATCATTGAGCTCGGGAACTGGTCTTCTGTTTCTGGCAGCAACTCAGTTACAGCATTTGTAACGTCTTCAGTAACTTCAGCATTTGATTCAGTACTTCCTCTTTTAAAGTCTTGTATCTTGTCAGTTGAAAGTTTGGGTCCCATACTTGCAGGATAAGAAGTTTGAGGACTTGAAGTACTCAAGACTTCTTCAACAGCCAATGGCACTCCAGAAGGAATAACAGCAAGGTCATCTCCCGATCCTTGTCCTGAAAATAATGGATCACTGATGACCTCATCATTTGTTAGCTTTTCTTCTTCAGGTGTCAGTGATCTGGGAATATCTCTCGTAGGGAAAATATTTTGTACCAACTCCTCCTCTTGCTCTATATCTGTAACTGGAGAGCTTATGTATTTCCTTTCAATCTTTACAGGCTCAGTTACTCTGTCATCATTAAATGGCAAAAGTATTTTTTTAAGAGATTCCGTTTCTAATTCCTTTTCTTCTGAATGTGGACTGACAGTTGGAACATTTGGAAATCCCAGATGTTCATGGTTAGCCAGTGTACTTTTAAAGAATGGGTCTGTTGTTGTTTCTTCAGAAGATTCTATAGCTTTTGGTGAAATTTCCCTTGGCCTGTCTTCCCCAGAATGTATATCTTCCACCAAAGGAATCTTTGTAGGAAAAGCACTCACTGTCAGTTCATCAGTTGTTTTCTCTTCCATTCTTATGTCAGTCACAGTTCCCATTGTGGTTACTTCATGTTCAGTACCCGTGACTAGCTCATCAGGTTCAGTAGTATAGGCGTGATCCATAGACGGTGGGCTGACAACTTTTTCATCATACTTCTCTTGTGTTTCTGGTCTCCCAGTGGGTGAAACTGCTGTTTTTGCAAATGATTCAATGAATGTGTCTGTTCCTCCAGATCCCTGGTCAATAAATGAGAAATTACTTCCAAGTATTTCTTCAGTAGGTCCATTAGACATTAGTTTTGTGATGCTGCTGTCACCTTTGAATTCTTCTCCAGAGCCATGTTCAATCAGAAGAATCTTGCCTAATGAGACAGTTGAAGAACCAACTTTTGCATTTTTGCTTTCTGTAGGTTCAGCTACTGCTTTTATACTGCCAGTACCATGTATCACCATGATGTCATGAGGGCTGTTACTAACCACTGATTCTGGAGTTGATGTGACCTCTTTTATTTCTAAATCTTCAGTTTTATCTCCTGGTGCAACATGAGATATTATCTCTTTTCTAGAACCAGGACTAGTTTTCACTACAGGAGGAGTTGTGTAAGTTGGTTCTGTTTCTTGATTTTTTTCTCCTGGGTTTCCCGTACTAAACACATCCCAGGACATCTGACTTGCTACTCCAGGCTCCTTTGTTAAGCCATCTGACTCAGTACTTGAAACTGATATTGCTGATTCATCTGTTCTTGCATGTTCTTCATATTCTGTTGTTGCATTCTTCAGTGAGGCATGATCTATGCTGTAAACTTTTCCTTCGTGCTTTTCTGTTTGTGTTTCAGTGACAGGCCTTAATGGAACTGAAGTCAAAGTAGCAGACTCAATGGTAACATCTATGTCTCCAGAACCTGGATCAATAAACGGGGAGTCAGTACTTACCACTTTTCTTGTGGGACCCCCTGAAAATATGTCTGCTGGTTCTTCTGCTGATCCTTCATTTATAAAAAGCTTCTTCTCTCTCCAGAGAGGAATGGTAGTGACCTTTTTGATTTCAGAACTTATTGTACCTGTTACCAGTACTGTTCTTCTGAACGGGGTGGGCTCTTGACTTACAGTTCTGACTTCACTAGTAGTGCTCCCAAGTTCGCTCAACTCCAAATTTCCTGCTGCAGCAGTAGCTGAATTTTCCTGACTTGAATAAACAGTGGTCTGCATTTCTTTTTCATCTTCAATATTCTTTTCAGTTACAAGAGAGCTGGCAACTACTTTCTCCATAATAAAGTCAGACACAGAATTGGTGGCAACAGTTACTTCAGAACTTTGATCAAAAGCAGAATAAAGAGTGCTTATTCCTCTGGGCAAAGCAGAGGTGATTCCTGAAATGGTTACAGAAGTTTCTGTTGGCAGTACTGTGCCAGAGCCCAAAGAAATATCTTGCATTGAAAGTGTTTCTGTTACTGCTTTTTCCGTTGTCATGGCTGAAGTTACGGTGATGTCCTCTTCAACATCTCCAGAGCCTTCTAGAACTCTAAAAGAAGCAGCACTCATCTCAGGCTTTGCTGTATGACTACTTGTTTCCAGAAGATTTTCAACAGAGGAATTTGCATTAAGTTTAATAGTTGATTTATAATGATCTGAAGTAGAGGTTGCCTCTTCTGGAATAAGGTCTTTCACACCTATGCCTACCGTAGCAGTATGAAAAACTGCATCCAGAGAAGCAGTTACAGCAAAACTTTCCACCGTAAATGCATCAGGAGCAGAAGTTATACCAGAATTCTTTTCATCATCTTCCTTTCTTGACATTGTCACAATTTCTGAGAAGACAGAACTGGATAAATCAGATTCCGTGGAGCTATCTCCAGAAGATTCGTTACTAATCAAAACCAAGTTTTTTGCATCTTTAGTAGAGCTCTCCTCAGTTCTATCCCATGTTATGGTCTCTTTATCTTTTTGCAGTGACTGCTCATATGAAGAAGTAATGGCTATTGATTTATCTGTTGCGGCAACTTCTGACTCACCACTATAAACAGGTTCTAACATTGCAACATCTGCTGTTGGTTGTGTAACTTCAAATGCCCCTATTACTTCTCCAGCTTTGCTTGGTTGCATAGTACCAGAAGCTTCAGTTTCAGGTATTATAAATGTGTTTGTTTCATTGATTTGAGAAAAGGTTACATTTTTTGAATGTGCAACACTTTCAATTTGGTCACTTCTTGCTTCCTCAGCTTTTGTGCTCTTAGGTGCACTAGTAACTTGCTGCTTTCCATTGATGAACTGCAAAGCTGGAGGAGTTGTAACATCAGTAGTATTTTCACAGTCTTCCTCTTCTTCAAACTGTACAAAGTCTGGAAAGAAAGGATCCAATATTATATATTCAGATGAATCCTGCACAGAGTCTGAAGTACAGGGTTCAGTCTGAGCTGATTCTGCATCAATGTGGGGTTCATCTATTGCATGAGGAAGCATGTGGCGACTGAACAGATCCAAAAATTCATTCACCGGATGATCTGCAAAAAAAAGAGAGCTTTTCATAATCCCTAAGTGATAGCGATGGTTGCGCATTATAGTAGACATATGAAGTACAAGCAATCCATAGGAGAAAAAAAAACAACAAAAAAAATCAAAATGAACATAGTAAATTTTCTATTGACACAAAGTTAAATGCTGCCACCGTGTTTGACCTTCTAGTTGAAGCCTTGATTATGTAATGCTGTCAATTGCCAGGCATGTTTAGTCCCAAATGCACACCTGAGCTAACTTATCCTAGACTATTCAGCAGAGATAAGAAATGGACAAGATGAAAACCATTTTTAGACCAAAAGACTCTGGTCCCAACCTGCAGCAACTGCTTCCAATGATTTGAGACACTAGCTAACCTTTACCAAAAATTGAACTTGGACAAAGCTAAGCCAGGCAAAGTCTAAAATAAAATAGGACATGTAGAATATGCTTCTGCAACTCCATTTATTCTTGGTATAGAGTAATTCAAATTACTAGGAACACCGTAAAAACTACATGAGTTAATCTATTCTTTACACTTGGACCCTAGGTAAATAAAGTCTCACTTTACAAAGTTGTTGCTATTTGGCATTACAAAGCACTCTGAAGCAAATAAGAAAAAATATCCCAGATTCAAAAATCAGTCAGAATTCAGACAGTAACATGAGTAAAGTCCAGCTATTTTCTTCTGTTTACAACTAACTTTGAATTATTTACACACACCACAGACTACAAACCTCTCAAATTTTTCTGTAGGTGGCCAAGCAGATAAAGAAGAGGAAGTAAGTTCTAAGTAGACAAGGTTTTAGCTGCAGAAGCCCTCATGAATTCCCCTGATTTATGATCCCAAATTCCATAGACACTTTTTAAATATGCCCTCTCAGCACAAACATTACTACAAACCTTCTGTTCCAGACAATAGATGCTACCCCCCTTAAAAAAAAAAAAAAAAAAGGATACAAGACTCAGAAAAAAGCCAAATTTCAGGTTTGACTGACTGACTTGAAGCTGGAGACCTTGTGCTGAAATCTTATTCCAAGAATCTATCTTTCTTCTGAGTCTATGTTTATAACCTTTTTGTACAAAGCAAAATTACTGTTTGCTGGTATAAATGGGTATAGCCAATGGAACATTTGCCTTTAGAAGATCTGAACCAACATACAGGACTCCTGTCTTACAGCACTGTTAGCAATGATTGCTCCCCAAAGAATATTTGCCAGTATTCTGGCATACCCAGAGTATGACACAGCACAATTTTTAAGTAAATCTTCCTCATTAAAACTATTTACAAGACGTAAAAAAATGAGAACCTGACAGGTGAAGTATTTGATTAGTTTGAATTAATTCCTCTACATATGAACATCATTTAACCTCTATGACTACTGAGCCCTCAGAGATAATCAGGTGATCATTCTGGAAAAGAATATATTAAATCACATTAAACCAACGTAGAGCACTGTGAAAGGCTTGTGATTCTTTGGCTTGGGGCGTTTTGTGTGTGCAAATTGCAACACAGTTAGTATTCTAATATCTCACTCTGTGTTTACAGCTAAACTCATGAAGTTACTGAATCTTTGTTTTGCTAAACATCCAGCTGAAGAGTAAATGGCAACTTCAGGTCTGTTTTACAAAGAATGCATAATAAGGTGCCCTGAATCTGAGGCTTTGATCTAATTGTTAAACAACTTGGGAAAAATTAAGATCCATGCCAGTCTTATAGAGAATAAATAACCTTCAGCATTGTGTATTTCTACTAAAATATTCAGTTTGTACAGCACTAAGCTCAGCATTCCCATTGCAACAAGAAAAGTTTGGTTTTAACCTCATTTCTACCTGGCTATTCTATTCTACCCAATGAAACCAGGTGTTTATTTTGTGCTATGACAGCTCTATTAGATGACTACAGAATTGAAACTCCTTCTCTCTCCCTCTCATGTGCTTGTTGGGAGTTGTTTTATGCAATGCTCATAAAGAGAGAATTTCTCCCTGTTCCTTCCTCCAGTAGGCTACAAATATTTACAGAGGTTGCCCAATGCCACAGAAAAATATAGCTTCTGCAGCCATTTATTTGAGTCTTCCCAGATCTCCCTTTCAAATTTTGTTCAAGCAGAAAAGCAAGAATTTAGTTATTTGTCCAAAATTTGCAATATGACATGGAGAAGCATGTCTAAAAACTTCACTTTCAGAATCCACAAATCTTAGCAAACAGCCACACTATTCATACTGAGGAATCATATTTTCATAGAAGTAGAAGCTCTAATCGACACAGAATTGTACACCTTCTTTCAAAACCATGAATGCAAAAATACATAGGAATTCAATAACTGAAAGGGGAATGGCAAGTCAAAGCTGCTAGGGAGCTTTGAGAGTTTCTGATTCTCAGTAAGCTCACCATAAAATAATTGCACCAACATACAGAACCAGAGAACTACATATAGAAATGTGCATGGGCAAGAAAGATGGCCTGTACTGTGTGCACAGCTTAAGAAGGAATATGTATAAATAACCTCTTATATAGACTAATGTGGCATAAGGATTAATTATGATTTCATACACAGTTGTTAGGATTGTGTGCACAAAGCATGTAGCATGCTTTTGCACAGAACTGTACATCAAAAAAAATTATAAAACTTGGATGCGACTGGGTAGGCTGTAATTTGTAAGAGGGTACAATGACTAACAAGTTCTGACCAGTGTATTATTTTTGTAGCAGTGCACACCTGGGAGTCCCTCAAATTACTTGCTCATGCTAAATCATTTATGGTAGGTAATAAATTTAATGAACAACATCTGTTCCAAATTCACCTAGAAGACATATACAAATTCTTACATACGCAAAGATCTCTATCAGACCTTACTTTTACTTTGTTAGCTTTTTCAAGATCTCACATGCCACAAAGATCCACATAAAAGAACCTTAGCTAAAGGTATGATATTCCAATAATAAACTTTCAGGAGGCTCCTTCATTAAATACTAAGTGTTTTTGTTTTGGTTTCTTTTTCCAAGAAAAAAAATAACCAGCTTTTAAGAAAATAGTAAAGAATCCAATTGAATTATTTTTTTAATTTGAATTTCTTCTTCTTTCTAGAGCTTTGATTATTCAGTGTCAGCAATCAAGTTGCCAATGCTCAGGGCTAACAGCTATGGAAAATTCTCTTAAACCCCAGAGATGGCCAATAATCTATGTAAAAATATAGCTCATATATAACATATAACCTTGTCCTGTAAGAATAAGCAAGACACTAGGATGAAAACCTAAGTGCTGACATAAAATACAAATACAGGAGGGAAAAGTCTTATATGTTGAACTGGTTTGTTGGACCGTTAGGGCAGACACACGAACACTTGCAATAGTTTTAAACTGGCTAGATGCAGCTGACATACGTTGCTCCTATTTATGTTCATGTCCATACCAGCTGCAGGTGAAGACATACAGACCTGAGACTATTAATAAGAGATGAAATAAGGACTCTGAAGGAAAGGAGTTTGGCTCCTAACTAAGATTATCAATAGTTCACACATTATCATGGCAAACAAGCCAAAACGAGCACTTGTTCAAAAAGGTGCTTTGTTACCATGGCTCCAAGAAAAAGAAAGTAAAAACAAGTAGCTAAGAAGTAGTAAAGCCAAGGGTTGTCAGTTCAGACTGCCAATCCAAACAAGTCCTAAAGGAGATTTATCAGTAAAGCCTCTTATTGAGGAAAGTGATGAGGTATGCACTGAAATAGAGATGGAATAGATAGGTGGATGAGTGTATATGCAGCCTAGAGTGTTTCTTAATCCATTTAATATGTCTAGATGTTTTAAATTACCTGTATGGAATAGGCATCTATTTCAGTAACAGTCAACTATGTGTAAGAAATGCAAATCCCTCTGGCTACAGGGCGCTTTTTAGCCGCAAGGGGACTTGACTGCTACTATATACAACCACAGAGCAACTGACTGAGGTGGCATTAATTTCCATTACAACCCTTCTAATGACAATTGGTTCTAAACCCACAATAATTTTTCACTGGATCAAATATAAAACTTGCCTCTATGTTACTGACGCACATCCAAAAAATGTGTAATGTATAGTAACATTTTTTCTTGAGAAGACTTTTCGTATTCTACAAAGAACCCCAAAGGGCTTTTCCAAGATCATTTTTGAGGGGACAGGCAGTAAAGAGCATTTTCTCTCTCAAAAACCTTCAGATAGAAGAATTAACAGAGAATTAAACAGAAAACATTCTGATGTCTTCCAAAGTTTCAAAACCCAATATATTTCATTCAGAAGACTTATGGATTTAGCAGGGTTTTTTGAAGTCTCATTCAAAAAGGGACTGTTAACATCTAATCTGGCATCCTGCAGATAGCAGAATTTCACCTATAGATTCCTGCAATTTGTCCATTTATTGCTTCAGAGCAACATGCTGAGTTGTTCATGAGAAGTAGTAGAGTTCAGGCTTTTGTAGAAGGACTAGAAGTCTGATAAATCCATGAGATTCACAGAACGATTCACAAAATGTTCTGTGGACTTTGAATCAGGCCCTATATTTTTATTAGAATAGACCTAAAAAGAAAAAAAAAATAATTTAAAAGAAGACCAGAAACATTTTGGACTGTTGGTTTTGAAAGCATGCATTTCATTGCATAATGTGACACTATCACAAACCCCATAATGTTCACTACCAAGAACCCATAAGCACAAGACAGGTTAGCATGAGAAAACAAAATAATTTGCATTAGTCAAATTTCTTCCTCCACTTGATAACCAGAAAATTTTGGTTTTGGCTTCAACAGATATATATCAGGGTGAATTCAGACCATAGTATGACTAAAATGTCATTAAAATATTGTATATATGTGGTTTTGTATCAAATTTCTGCAAATGTAACATGCGGTGATTGTGAAAAAGGTAATGCGGTAACTTGCAAGAAAAATTAAAAATGTTTGGCTCAGAGAGAAAAGCAATAAACAAATTAATTTAAGATAAAAATTGAGATAATCTGGGAGGTTTTCCCCCTG